TGAATTCGAAAAATAAGTTTATTTTGAATTTTAATAAACTAAACGTTCACCAAAAAACTTTAGTGAGAAAAATCGAAAAAACGAACTACAAACACTATTAACGCCAAACATTCGGTAGAATTTATAGAATATTGTAAAAATTATGGTCTATTACCAAGATATATATATATATATATATATATATATATATATATATTCATTATCCAGAAGAAATTTATAAATGCACATATGCAGCATGAATTCAGAAAATAAGTTTATTTTGAATTTTAATAAACTAAACGTTCTCCATAAAACTAACTTTAGTGAGAAAAATCGAAAAAACGAACTACAAACATATTGTTATAATACTCGCTGTCGTTACCGATTTACGATGCGACGGGCTCGATTGAATAAAATATTCCAAACAGTTATTAAACTTTATTTACAGAAGAAATCAACTATTATTAGTTATTAAACTTTATTTACAGAAGAAATCAACTAATCGTTTATTTCCAGTAAATTCAAACTATCGCAACAATTAACTTTTGAATCGTTCAAAATCGATCGCTATGACAACGTCAACAAACAAATCAAATATCGCTTTAAATAATTCACCGAATCGCTATTCACAAAATCACGAATTTCACTAATCACGAATATCACTAATCACGAATATCACTAATCACGAATATCACTAATCTTCTTGCGACGTGCGCTTATATACTCTTCGCAAGCGTCGTTTCTAGATTCTTCTCGATGGTCCGATTCTAGCATACTCTAGAATGCTCCAGTCACTAGAACATTCTAGAATACGCTAGAATCTAGTGCGTTCGGTAGCACGGTTATAACATTACCCCCTTCTTAGTTCTGTTCGTCCCGAACAGCTTTCGTTCCGGTGTCCGCATGGTACGGAGCCAGTCTATCCAAATGAACCATCTTCATTCTTGTTCTCGGCTTCCGATATTCCTGAATACGGTAGACGACGTCATTCAAGCGGGTGATGACTTGATAAGGTCCTTCCCACCCTCGCTGGAGCTTTGGAGAGCGTCCTTTCTTTCGCTGTGGGTTGTTCAGCCAAACTAACTCGTCGACAGCAAAACCGCCACTGCTTCCTTTCAAGTCGTATCTGGTTTTGGCCGCCTCCGTGTTTTTCATAATTTTAAGGCGTACGTAACGGTGGATATGGTTTAATCGCTGTCGAAGATTATCCACGTATTTTGTAAAATCAGCAATCAACGCCTCGGCTTTTAGACGGTCTTCTTGATACAAATTGAGTTCATCCAGTAGATTTTTGGTAAGTTCTTTGAGTCTACCTTTGTCACTTGGTAGAACCTTTTCCTGTTGCTCCATATCTAATGATTTCACCAAATTTATTGATTGGCAATTACCTATTTCCTCACCTTTTTTAATTTTAATAGTGTGTTTTTCGTCGCTATCCCCCAATATCACTTCTGTATTTTTCCATCTAAGAATGCGTTTTTCTAAGTCAATTTTGAACCCATATTTTGTCAGAAAGTCGACACCTATTATGCATTCGTCGATGATATCCGCGACTAAGAGTGAACCTTCGAATAACAAGTCGCCTAGCTGAACAGTACGGAGAATCTTTCCATAGACTGGTGCTGTTCCTCCGGTAGCTGTTCGAAGGATGTATTTGTTAGAAGTCTTTTTCTTCAGATTGGGTACCAAATCAGATCTTAAAATCGATTTTGTTGCTCGGTGTCGACTGTAATTACACATTTTCGTTGATCAACTTTTCCGGCATCCTTGAGTTTTTGTTTATCTGACAAGAGAAGGGATTGCTTGAGTTCCGAATTATGAAGGGCTTTGATAAACGTATCCAGGGCAGTTTCGTCTCTATGCTCGGGGTCTGATGTCGGATACGACAGCAATGTCAACCGTTCGATATCTTGTGCCAGCTGCTGAATGGATTCACCAGATCGTTGCGTTCTGTTTCTAAGCTGAGACCGATAAATCTGTTTCATGTGTTCTTCACCATAACGTAAATCCAACGCGCTAACCAGAATTTCATAGTTGAAGTGGTTGTCCGCCGGAATCGTCTGAAGAACCTCTGCTGCTGAACCTCGCAGGGCCAGTATCAGTGCTGTTGCTCGTTCTTTCAACAGTTACTAGTTGCCGCTGCTTCAAACTGGGTTTTATAAACGTTCCAGGACATCTCTCCGTCAAATGCTGGTACCTTCAAAGTTCTTCTGGATGCGTGATCTAACGGCATGGCCATTTTTTTTTTGGATTGCTCCAATTCTCGCTTCAATTTGTCTATCTTGTGATCTACCTCAACGGTCTGACGATCAAGTTTCTGTTCGATCATTTCTATTCTTGTTGACTGTTCTTCAATCTGTTCTGCCACTTCCAATTTTACGTGTTTTAGCTGGTCCTTGATCTGTTTTAACTCCTCTGTCTGTCGTTCGGACTGTTCCTTGATCTGTTGTTTTAACTCTTCTGTCTGTCGTTCGGACTGTCGTTCGGACTGTTCTTTGATCTGTTTCAACTCCTCTGTCTGTCGTTCGGACTGTCGTTCGGACTGTTCTTTGATCTGTTTTAAATCCTCTGTCTGTCGTTCGGACTGTTCCTTGATCTGTTGTTTTAACTCTTCTGTCTGTCGTTCGGACTGTTCTTTGATCTGTTTTATTTCAGTTGACATACTAAGCAAAAGTTCCATCATTTTAGCGGTTGTAAACATGCCTGTGCTAATTTCATTGTCTTCGTCAGTACCATCAAACTTGAATTCGTCTGGGTTCTTACCTTCGCCAATGAGAGCTTCTCTCAGACGTGCTACTAGTACTTCTTTGTTGCCACTTGTGACAAGGCTTCGTTTCTGTAGTTCTTCTCGTAGTTGAACTACGTTCAACCCACACAGTTTTGACATCGTGTTCTTTTTCTACGAGTAGTAATTCGCTGGTGGAAGATCCCACTTCTGACACCAATGTTATAATACTCGCTGTCGTAACCGATTTACGATGCGACGGGTTCAAATCCTCGATTGAATAAAATATTCCAAACAGTTATTAAACTTTATTTACAGAAGAAATCAACTATTATTAGTTATTAAACTTTATTTACAGAAGAAATCAACTAATCGTTTATTTCCAGTAAATTCAAACTATCGCAACAATTAACTTTTGAATCGTTCAAAATCGATCGCTATGACAACGTCAACAAACAAATCAAATATCGCTTTAAATAATTCACCGAATCGCTATTCATAAAATCACGAATTTCACTAATCACGAATATCACTAATCACGAATATCACGAATCACGAATATCACTAATCACGAATATCACTAATCACGAATATCACTAATCACGAATATCACTAATCTTCTTGCGACGTGCGCTTATATACTCTTCGCAAGCGTCGTTTCTAGATTCTTCTCGATGGTCCGATTCTAGCATACTCTAGAATGCTCCAGTCACAAGAACGTTCGGTAGCACGGTTATAACAATATTAACGCCAAACATTCGGTAGAATTTATAGAATAATGCAAAATTATGGTCTTTTACCAACATATATATATATATATATATATATATATATATATATATAAAGGAATAATAAATAATAATAATAATATATATATAAAAGGAATAATACATAGAATATATATATAGATACAGAATATTATAAGTACAGAATGAAATCATATCTATATTGATGTTGCATTTGCATCAATTAACAATTTTTCACTAAACTTTATTCACTATTGTCCGTTCAAAAATTGTTTATTCAAACAAACGACTGAATCTGGAGCATGGATATATCCATGGTCCGGAAGATACAAAATATGTTAAGCAAATATTGAATTTGCCGTGCCCTTTTCTATACTGGCGTTGGAGTAGAAAAAAGATCTCTGCCTATCAGAGGCCTGTGTGATTAGTTGATTTACGTGTATTTACATATACTGTGTGTTAATTCTTGATACCTCTGAGGAATGCTGAAGAGAAAATCGTTAAAAAATTATTCATTTTCTTTAAATCAATGTTACTGTTGTTAACTCGCAGTGAAATCCAGAAGAAAAAAGAAACAAACAAAGGAACGATATTTTTGTGTGATTACATTCAATGAGAAAAAAGTAAATTAAATAATTTCAATGAAGATCCATTTATTCAAAGATTTACACACTATTTTATCAACTTAAGTTCGAGAACAAAAATAAAAATTATTTATCGAAAATTCTTAAATTTATCTAATTTTTCAATTTATTCTGTAACAATTGGTAACTACTGCTGAACTTTTAATGAATCCTCGAATGAATGTGCAATATTCAATCGTTTTTGATTAGCACTCGACACATAGGCAAACAAAATGGTTACTGAGTTACAATGAACGTTGTGTAATAAAAATTTGTGTAATTATTGAAATAATCGTCTGGCAAGGGTTTTTTAAATGTGCAGCTGAATTATCTTGGTTTGCGAGCTAGCACTGACGGCAAAAGTGCATTGTCATTATTGCGTATTAACCTGGTTCGAAAGCTATCTGTCGCCAACTGTTATACTTCTTGTGCATGCGAAAGGGGTGCTTGTGCGTGCATACGAGTGTGTGTACGCCTGCACACCACGTGATCTGGATGGACGTGTGTAACGATTGCGGTGGACATATTTTATTTTATCTAATAAGTTAGAGAAGAATGATTTGCAAAATTATAGAAATTGAATCATTGAAACATTTCAGCCAATGCATTATAAATTAATTCAAATTAATTCATGTTTAAAAGTTGCGGAGAAATTCTGTACAACTGCTGATTACACGGCGTAGATATGAGTAGATGATATGATAACGGTGAGTGAAATCTATTCATTGAAAAAGAAATATCATTCATTATAAAATAATATTGACTAAATAATATTTCCTATTGTCACGCCAAAAATATATAGCAACAAACAAATTGAATAGCTATTCAAGCTCATGAAAAAAAATTTTTTTTACGCACTTAAAAATTTTCTATAAAAACTTTGAAAAAAACAAATAGTTATTTTCAAACCTTATTTTTGAATGTTTCAACCAATTAGCTGACAATCCTTGAAATTTCAACATTGTAAATTATTTTCATTTCATTCCAGCCTCACGTAGTTGCTTATAGTTCGTTAACAAATTTGGTCGGAAAGCTGGCTGAAGTAAACGTTGATACAATATTTGAAATGCCTGTGAGTCAAAGTTAAAAAATTATTTAACTTTTTTTGTAACATTCTGAAATTAATAAAACTTTAAAACGTTTAATTTAAACATTCAAACAGCTGGCAAATTCTAGTCCGACTACTTTGCAGAGAGATTCCGAGTTGGAAGATTTGAAAAGTAAGGAGAAGTGTGAAGTGCCGCTGGACAACAATTTTGATGTTTTCAAGAAAATGAACAACAACTTGGACCAGTCATTGGATTTGTCGAATGTTACTGATTTGCCAACTTCTGCCGAGCATTCTAATAGTTTGAAAACATTTTTTCATTCTTCTATTGAAAATTGTAAAATTTATTTAAACAAAATTATAAATTAATTCAAATAGTTGAGCTTAGAAAAAACATTGAAGCATGACCCTAACTAAACTGCACGGTGACAGCATTTTGCAGCTACTTTTTTTTATCGAATTATGCCACTTCATCGTAAAAATAATCGAAACAAAATCTTAAAAGTCGAAATATAGAATATTACGTGGATTTCACCTGGTGTCTATTTAAATTGCAGTTATTTGCGACAATAAACGACCATATGAAACTTAGAAGAAAAAATTCTTCAATTATTATAAACCAAAATTTTGTTAGAAAGATTGTTTTAATAGAAAATAACTTTTATTTTATTTCACTGCAAACTTGAAACAAAATGAAATTAAATACTTGAAATAAGCTGAAGGGATGAATCATTCATTGTCATCTCAGCAAGTCGATCTATCTTTGCTGGCGCATTTGAATCCTGAACTCTACCAAAGTTGCATCAACGTTGGACTTGTCGGTAGGTATCGTTCAAGTTTCATGTTTTATAACATTTTTCAATATAATAGAGAACATGTAACTGAAATTTTGGTTATTAGAATAAGTAGTTAATATGATTCTAATAATTTTTATGTGTTACAAAGGACCATCGGGTACCGTCAACACAGCTTTGGACGTCAGCCAACAAGCTTTCCAATCAAAAATTCTTGATTCCTTCATTCCTGGAGCCATTTCAAATCGGACGTTAGAGTATCTGACGGAATCAACAATCAGACCTTCAAGAGCAATCAAGGGCAGTCAGAGACAACTGCCTTCTTTCAGTAGAACTATGAGGTTTTGTTGTAGTAATTATTTTTTGCTATGGTTTATTTTTTAATTAGAAATATTATCCAATCAAATTATAAAATTTTATTGGAATGCTTTATAATTTGCTTATACTAAAAAGTGGCAGATTTGATCACAACCCGTACGGAGTTGGGACGATCGGTGATAGAAGTTACGGATGCAATTCGACATCTCCCATGTCCAACAACAGTCATACGGCCATCTTGGATCTATTCAATGCGACCAGAAGCATGTCTCCTCCTGACTCAGACACCAGTGGTGTGAGTACTGGTTCAGAAATCTCAGAGGCGGCCCTTGTTGATTTAATGGTATCCGTCGCTCGTCAACCCAAAAATATGACCTCCATTCATAAATTTTGTTTATGCCCGCTCATATCTACTTTTCAATTTGACAGCGAATTCAAAATAGTCATTCTAAATTTTGATTAAATATAACTGAAAATTAGTAATAAAGTAATCGTTTATAATAAACATTAGCGCGTTTGAGCTGAGGCCTAGACAGAGGTCGCGTGTTATATATATATATATATATATATATATATATATATACATGTAAATATAAAATATCATATATTTATATTTATTTGTTTATTCATTTATTTATATTTATTCTACAAACAGATTTAAATTGTTATTCACTGTTAAAAATTACACATTTAAACAAAATGACTTGATTTTTAATCCAGCAGAACCTGTTGCACATGAACCAGCAAAACCCTTATTGCCAGTATCCTGCTGTGAACAATCACACTTTCAATCATCAGCCTGGCAACGGCAACATGTCACCTACCATCGACCTCTTGAAGGCTCTTGGACTTCAATCGGACATTCCTATGCAGAGACAAGTGGGACATGGAATGCAACAGCAACCCTTGTATAACGACTTCAGCATGAGTGCCGATCTCTTTGCCAGCAGGCCTTGGACTTCCTTGAACACTCTTTTCTCTACAAGTGCCACCGATCCTTATTCAATTGAAAGGGCAGCTAAGTTGTACAGGAATGCAGCAAGTATGAGATCATCTATGTTCACTTTAAATGATTCAAAACATTTAATTTAGTAAATAGCATATAGATGGTCAAATAATCATTTAAAATTAACATTCTAGAAAATTAATATTATTCAGCAATCTCCGAACCAACTTGCACATGGAGTGGCCAACTGCCCATGAAAATTTACCGCAATCCTGTTTACTCTTTCAAAGTTTTTCTTGGAGGTGTTCCTTGGGATATTACTGAAGGTTGAGTATTAACATGTACTCTGATTAATAATTTCTTTTCAAACAATCGGCGTAACGTTTCATTATAGCTGGCCTGCAAAGCTGCTTCAGATCATTTGGAGCCCTGAAAATTGAATGGCCGGGGAAAGATGGCAAACATCCGAGATATCCAATCAAAGGAAAGGAGCTTCCAGGTTTGTGCATGCAACGTGAAACACTCATCACATGATGTTGAACATAATGATTGTTTCATTCAAAGACTACCACTAATTTATACAAATTATTTCATCGCCATCACGTTCAGTTGGCTACGTGTACATTCTTTTTGAATCGGAGAGATCGGTCCGTTCCTTACTGCAAGCTTGCACTCATGATTTCTCTAATGGAGGAGAATATTACTTTAAAATTTCCAGCAAACGAATGAGATCAAAAGAGGTTATATTGCTATATTGAACCACCAATGCGAGGTTTGATGTGCCATGTGACAAGACATTTCATTGCACAACCATTTGCAACAGGTTCAAGTGATTCCATGGATCATCAGTGACAGTAATTATGTGAAGAGTCCATCACAACGGTTGGAACCTCAAAAAACAGTCTTTGTGGGAGCTCTGCATGGAATGCTGAACGCCGAAGGACTTGCCCATATTCTGAATGATTTGTTTGGGAACGTTGTCTATGCGGGCATTGATACGGACAAGCACAAATATCCAATCGGTAACAACATTATTATTTATAAAAATACAAAAACTATTAAAGACTAAATAAACCTTGTATGATCTAAATAAAGGTTCAGGAAGAGTAACTTTCAGTTCTCACAAATCTTACGTGAAAGCCGTCACCGCTGCTTTTGTGGAAATAAAAACTGCCAAATTCACTAAGAAGGTCGGTCGGTCATTTAAAATACACATTTCATATTTTTTATCCCCGATAATTTTTACTTTAATGTGAAGACAAACGTCAAATTCTTTGTTTAATAACACGCTGTTAATAATCTACTATTTGAGGAACTTTGTATTTTTTCCTCCACGAACCTCGCCGACAGATCCAGATTGATCCCTATTTGGAAGAGTCCCAATGCAACGTGTGTCAGAAGGAGCATGGTGTGTATTTCTGCAGAGACTTCAACTGTTTCCTCTATTATTGCAGAAGCTGCTGGCAAACGTACCACTCATCTGATAACACCCGCTACCACAAACCTCTCATGAGAAACAACAAGTCGTCTGCCAAGTGCTGCCCAGTGGTTGAGTTGCCGCCCGTCTGAAATTAAACATCGGTCGGTGCAGACGCTACTGCGTTGTCGTTTTTTTCTTCAGGTTTTGCTTTTTCTGTTTTTTTCTTTCGTTTTATGTTAATTTATTTATTTATAAAAACAAAAAAAAACACAAAAAATAAGTTTTTAAATTTATTGTTTTATTTTTACCGGTGCACATTCCTTTGTAATGCATTGTTGGCACTTTTTTATTATATTGAAAATTTATGGGGAAATTATACGGTCAATATTATTATCATAATTTAAATGACAATATGAAAGCAAGGAAGTTACAAAACCATTTTGTTATTTTAATTAATAAACCCCAACAAAACTTTAATAAATCATAATGGTGTTACGTAACAAAAGTTTGGGAACAATATTCTTTTCGATTAAATTATTCCATCTTGTTGTCAAATTTATTAAATTGTTTTGAAAATATTACCAATTAAGCTTAAAAATGATGAAACAATCATTTTAAAATGCATGAATTTTAAAATATTTTAATATGAAATTTTAAAATTTTTTTAGCCAATTCACCCATTTTATTATATTTCATTTTTTAAAAAATTGGTTAATTTAATATTCGTCAAATTTAAATAAAAATTTTAATGAACATTTTTACATAAAATAGTTGGCATAATATTTTAACAATTGTTTTAGCAAATTTAATTGCACGTTATTTAAAGTTATTTAATAAAACCATATTTATTTAATTATTTAATGTCTGATGCGTAGTTAAGTTGTTATTTTCTCATTAAAACTTTTCTCATTAATATGTTGTATTTAAAAGAAATTCGGCGTTCGTATAATGAGTGGTTTTGCTAGCTGGCGAGGCATCGTTTGTTGCATATGAACATTTTGTTTTCTATCAATTTTTAATTTATTTTTAAAAGAAAAACAAAATGTTTTATTATTTATAGTAGCACACGAACACTCATTATGACCTTATTATGTTCTATTTATTTAAATTCAATTCATCGTCGTTCTTTTCATGACAATGTTCTTGTTTTTGTTCGTCTTTTTAATTTATGTTGGTGAATAAAAGTTTTCCGTTTTCAAATAGATTTTTAAATTACGAAAATCATAAAACCAAGTCTAAATTAAGATACCGCGCGTTGGTATGAGCGAGCATGGGTCCGGTCAAATAAATGAAAAGTGATGACCATAGCCAAGCCATGGTGTAATGATGAACTGAGGTGAGGTTACAAGAACATTTCAGAGCCTGGTCTAGTAAGAAAGAACGATTCAAGATTTATTTGTGTCTTCTGCATATCTACTTTTATGCAAATAAAACCATACAATACTGAAATTACGTTTAACGAATTGTTGAGTGATAATTGGATAATTATATAAACATGCATTTTGTTGGAAAAGATTATATCCAAATTATTTAATAATTAAACAAACATGTTACTCATTAAACGAATTCATAAATTACTCACACAAATTATATATATCTGTGTGTGTGTGTGTGTGTGTGTGTGTGTGTGTGTGTGTGTGTGTGTGTAATATTTAAATATTTATATTTAAGTAACCCTGCAACCCAGCGCTAAGTCTCTCTAATGATTTATTTCAATGTTTAAAATCAAATAACAAACACACATTAAACTGAAACAAAATTTATGTTGCATTGTATTTCGGGTAAATATGTACATTCTGTTTTGTTGAAGACTGCTGTTCGTGATATTTCATATTGGTTTATTAATGGTGTGCATGAAGAAATGGGTTTCAATCAAATCAACTCGATAGTTTTAATTTATTTTGTTTAAGTACCTATATATGTTAACAGTGGCGGATCTAAGGGTTGGGCCGGGGGGAGGACTGGCATCCATTATTGTAAGCGTTATTTGCGTTGAAAGATGGTAAAAATGGTTGTATAAACGTGAAAAGTTGTATTTTTAAGGGAATATTTTCATTATGAGCCCACCGGCAGAAAAGTTGGCCCACCATGAGCACGGACAAATTTTGGAAACAAACAAATTTGCGATTTTAACGTTGGTAAAATAAATAATGACGACAAGAATTTGGTTCAAAATATTTAGAAATGTAATAAATAAAAACTACCCAAATTTCATGAATTGTTGCATTAATTATGGTCTTTTACCACCATATATATATATATATATATATATATGTATATATATATATATATATATATATATATATATATTGGTAATAGACCATAATTTTTACAATATTCTATAAATTCTACCTAATGTTTGGCGTTAATATGTTTGTAGTTTGTTTTTTCAGTTTTAGTGAGAAAAATTAAAAAAAACGAACTGCAAACATATTAACGCCAAACTTTCGGTAGTGTGCTGCCTGCTTCTTAAAATAAGTTAAATTACCATTATAGGTTGTCTGCACAAATATTCTGTAACTAACATGCTTTAGCTCGATATTTTCTCTTACCATCATGTGAGTATTATTCTTCACATTAATATACGAGAAACTTATATTTTGTGCATACCTAGCAAGTAGATCAAGTTATGCAAGAGTTTCAAATTTTATTTTTTTCTGAACTTTAATTTCATTCAATAGAAGTATTTCAGAAATCAGACCTGTTTGTCTGCCGAAGAATTTGAACACATAATATTTCACACAACGTCCTCAAGAGCATTTCAGTGACAAAAAAAGCTACGAAGGACTAAATTTGTGCTACGTTTGAAAATATTTTCAGCCAATTAAAATTACTGTTCAATCAACATACAACTTGTTAGGTATCCCATAAAGACAGTTAGACAGTTTTTGATGGTCGAATATCTCAGGAGAGCTACAGTCGGACCGAAAGAATTTGGATCGGCTAAATTAAGTATTAACAACATTTTTTTTTTATTTTTATTGTTTTTTAGTTTTAGTTATAGCTTCTAGTTAAAAACCTAATCAATAAATCTGTGAAATCACAGATTGAATGATTGTTTGATTGATTGATTGGTTGATTGATCGATCGACCGATCGATCGATTGATTGACTGATTGATTGATTGATTGATTGATTGATTGATTGATTGATTGATTGATTGATTGACTGATTGATTGATTGACAATATCGGTTCAAAACTGATAATTGTAAATCATTTATAAAAGATTACTTTTTTTGCTCTGATCGTATTTTTGCAATTTTTAAAAATTAACTAAAATATTATCTGTTGAACAGACTGTCTTCCATCTTTCCACTCATCACATGTTGGAGGTGTGTTTTGTTTGTACAGCCTGTTTTCAAATATGCTATCTCATTTCTAAACAAATGTTATAAAACCTGTGTTTAATGAGATCACACGACGACAAATTCCGAAGTTCGAACAATGAACCCAGTTGTAATTTACTTAGTTTTTACGTTTCATTAAAAGACGAGTTGACACAAACGTTTGCCATTTGGTGGATGAAACTTATTCATTTTGAAAGGATGAATTTCGTCTACAAATAATGCAATTAAAATTTTGACCAAAAACTTCGAAAATTTTATTTATTGGCGGTCGAAACACTTTAGAGTAAGTTTCCAAAAATGATATAATGCCATGTGGCTGTCTCAGTTTAAAGATATTCTTACGATATTAAGTTGCTATTTGCAATAAAATATCACATTTGATTAAATTAAAAATAAACTTTGTCGTTAAAATAGATGAAATTTACATTTGCTGACAGCCGCAGATGCACGTACATAAATAACATGTAATATTGAGCCTATAAAGTGTGAAAAATCATAAGTAAATACAAAAAATGTCTGTTTAAGGTGGAAAACGTTTATTGAATGATGATGACAATTTAAAACGTCGTTAACTGTTTTGTTGAATAACGATGTAAGTTGGAGTTAAATGTGGTTAACATCAATTTATCGGATAATAAAGCCGAAAGAAAGGATCGACATGAATATGGGTACGTTATTTGAAACCGGAGTAAACGAACTATCCTGGGATAATATTGTTAGTCAACACATTTTAAAAAAGATATTTCTCACTTTTCAATAACCACAAAAATTTAGCATACACTTCACTCACACTCCAAGAAGTTAGCAAAGAATTTTTAGTGTTGTGCTATTTGCGGTTTGTTAATTCGAAGGAGAAGAACAGAATGGGTGAAAAATATGAGTGGCCACGTTTATCGGAGGTGGTTCTCTACAGACGTAAGGTCAGGATGCTGGTTCATGAAGTTATTGAACGCACTCCTTTGCAACTTCCAATCAGCTGGGATAGTGTTTGGGTGAGTCTGTATTTGTTAATATATCAAATATTCTTCGATATTCAAATGCTTACAATATCTACAAAAACCAGTATAAGATGATTAGTTTTTTTTATTGCCAATCAAAAAAAAACACACACACATACACACAAGGTCCACGGATCGATCGTAGTAGTTTATTCTCGTCAGCACATTAGTTAAGTAAAATATTGCAACTGAATTATGTACTTAAACTTTACAAAAAATGCATGTGATATTTAAAAGTGGGCAGTAATAATGGGCATTGAACACGAGAGAATCCATATAGAAACCTCGTCCGTCCTCATCAGACAACTGCCTGTTAGTCTGGTCAAGAGACCTGACGGTTGGTCCTATGCACCAACAGGTTTCATTGGATTGTACGGTCTTTTGTACTATTGCTATTTATGTTAAAAAAATAAAAAAGAATTTGAAGATTCGTTGAAATGTTCATTTGTTAATGTTGGTTCAACGAAAGTTGTCCTAGAAAAAGAGAAAGAGAGCAAGAAATATGGTTGGGACAACGAGTTTGGTAGCAAAGAAGTAAAGTAAGTTTAATAATGTTCTAACGAAATTAGTTTGTTAATGAATTGTCAAAATACAGTGTACCGCAGTTTCGAGTATCAAATTAATTAACAACCAACGAAGAGTTTTTCAAGTTTGTGAAAGATGGCGGATACGAAAATTAAATATATTGGTCGAAGGAGGGGTGCAAGTGGCTGGCACACAGAGAAGCGAAACATCCAACTTTTTGGATCTGTCATAAAAGTCTTTCAAATTGTTAAATTTTTCAATTTTTTAATACAAATAATCTGAAAAATTATTAACATTGTAAGAATGTAAAACTGGATGTGGCGACAATCTTTCCGAGTACACACATTATAATGGAAAACAAGAGCAAAAGAACGTTGGCGACGAAGGAATCAAAAATTATCAATTTCGATGCATATTTGATGTTGTTGACATGCCAAAAAATTGACCCGTTGAAGTAAACTACCACGAAGCAAAAGCATATTGCAAGTGGAAGTCCGTTAAAGAGCTGGATGGAAGCAGTTTCTACAGATTGTTATCTGAGGCGGAATATAAAATTCTGAGAGGAGATGTTAGTTTGCATTCGTATCAATGATTTGATTCCAAGTGACACATTTAGTAAATTACAATGACAGGACGATTTAAAAAGTGGTCAAGCGGCTAACATAAATTTAATCTTTGGCTCTTCAACTGTAAGTCCCTAAAATGTATACATTTTAATGTTAAAAAAGGGTAAAATTAATAAGTAAACTCCCAAGCCTGTCAATTTCTATCCGGCTAATAAATTTGGGATTCATGACAGTTTCGGAAATGTTTGGCAGTGGTTGGAGGATGATTACAACGCTCTGCCTGGATTTGAGACTCATTACTTATACCACGATTACTCATATTCTTATTTTGAAGGGCAGTATACTTTAGTAGCCGTAAGTTGACGCGAGTTCATCTTGTTTTTTTTTATGAAAGTTATCACTGGTTTGATTACTAGCTGAAGTATCAAATTTTAATGAATCTGTTTTTAAAATAAAAAACTATGAAACTTAAATTTAAATATGAATGATGCATTTGAACTTTTGTCGCACAACATTTTACTAGAAATTTTTTCATTTAAATCGACAAAAATAATTTCAAGTCACATAGTTCGATTTAATTATTTGTTTTTAAAATATTTAGTCAATTACACATTTATTAGCTGTTTATTTAAATTTAAATCCATGCAATTTTGTAAGCCAACCTATGGCTTCTTTAAGCAGTAAGCCACTGTGTTTTCTAAACAAAAAGCAATAATTTTATTTAAATTGAAAAAATAATTTCAAATCACATAATTCGATTTAATTGCTATGTTTTACACATATTAAGTCAAAACCGATGCAATTACGTATGCCAATAAGCCAAGGAAGTTAAATAGGCGGAGACTTTGTTTTCGAACTGGTCAATGTAATGCAATACCGGGTATCCTACTTAAACACTAATTTGCCGACAAACTCAACACTAGTTGATTGAAATTTATTTCACAATTTACTGAAAGCAGATTTATTTTTAAATATGTACAAATGAATAAAATTATGAATAAAATTTAATTAATATTTTTTAAAACGCACCCACTAATCTTTGCCAACATCTGTAGGAAGCCATGTTGATGAATTTAATGTTGATCATCATATGCACTTGACTTGTAGTTTAACTTTTGCTCCTTCGTTTTTATTTTAATACAATATGACTTTGCGGCTTATAGAGATCTCTTCCAAATAATTCAACCGGTCTTAAACACTCGGTATTTTTAATATTAAAATTAAACATCCTTCCAGGTGGTATGGCACTAACACTGAAAAAAGTAAAGGGAACTTTGGAAAGGGTTCTTGATAAAAATTTGCAGGATTTGGTGCGTGGGATCAGGAACCACAAGGACGCTGAGGTTGGTCATTTTATTTTTAAATTGTCCTATGAACGCATCAATTTTTATAATTTTTTATGGTTACTTAATGATATTAATTATTGTTTTTTTTTCTTTCTGTCTACCTCCACCTACTTCTACCTGCAGTTTCAAAATTATGTTGTTGAAATTTGTTTCATGAAATTACTGTGAATTTGTTTTATTAATAACTAAAAAATAGATAAATGTTATATTTGATTTTTTAATTGTTGTTTTTTTAGTACTACTCTATTTTCAAATATTAATATAGTTGTTGAACCTTTTTTCACAACTAGATATCATTTAACATTTTAATTTAAAAAAATGAATTTTTTAAATTTATAGGCAAAGTACATTGCAGAATGTATAGATGAAATTAAGCAAGAATTAAGACAGGACAATTTGACCGTGAAGGCAAATGCTGTCAACAAATTGACATATGTTAGTTTTAATTTAATTCTTTCTAATTTTTTTATGTAATAATTTTTATGAAACTAAAATGGGAAGCTCTAGCTCACCATTAAACTTTTGTTCTCATTTTGAAAAATAGTAGTCTACAATTAATTAACATTGATATATATATATATATATATTGTATAGGTATATATGTGTTTTGTATGTGTATAACTATCAAATTCAAATTTTCTTGTCACTAATGGCTAATACATTAAACTGATTTGATGATGGTTTTGGTTATTATTTACTGATTTGTGTATGAATGACCAATTAGTGTTAGGTAAATAAATAAAATGATCACATTGTTTAGATCTTGTAATTATTATTTTGATTAAATCATGTTCACTAAATTTGTTAAATTTAATTAAAAATGATAAATATTGTTATACAAATTTTGTGCAACAAATACCAGTTCATCATTTTCAGCTTTAAAAATTTAACATATCTTAATTTTTATTGTTTAAAATAGTAAGTGAGTTAACATATTTTTTAATTTTTATTGTTTAAAATAGTAAATAAGACTAAAGATGTCTTCATGAGTTTATACAATATACATAAAATAAAAATGTTATTGATTACAATAAAATCAACAGTTAAAGTATTAATTTTATGCAATGTTCAATAAATATTATTAATATAATTAATAATCTTGGTTATATAATTTTTTTTAAAAATTCTTGTTGTCAACAGGTTATTTGCTAAATTGTTTAATTTGTCACCTATTTCACTACCATTAAGTGAAAAACTTATTCAGTAACTTTAATTACTTTGTGAAAAATAATAATTAACAAACAAATAAATAAATAAACAGTTACAAATGCTTGGCTATGACATCAGTTGGGCAGCATTCAACATCATCGAAGTCATGAGCTCTCCCAAATTAACACACAAAGTTGGCTTTATTTTTTGTTTGTTCTTTTTTATTTCACAGTTGATTATTTATAATGTCGTAATTAAACTGGTGATGTTCAAAAAATGATCACCAAATGTGTCTTAATAAATTATTTGAAAGGATATTCTTAAAAATAGCTGTGGCTATTTTTATGGATTTCTGATTTGATGTTTGATGAACATGAAAGATTTAACTCACTTACTAAGTCAGTAACTAAGCCAGTCATTTAAATCAGTAACTAATCAATTAATCATTACTCTATTTATTCGTTTTTTCAAATCATTATTTTATTTTCCATGCTTACCACGCTTAAACATTCCTATTCCTTATAATTCTTATCTCTTATCAATCACATAGATCACTCACTAAGTCCTTATAGACAGTCACATAATTAATTATCTTATTTATTTGTTTTTTAAATCATTATTTCATTTTCCATCTTCTCATGCTTAAACATTCTTAACCCATTTTTTATTTTTTGTTATCATTTTATGCTATTGCCTTACATGCTGTAACAGTTTCTGCATCTGTCAGATTCTGATTTTTAAAGAATAATAATAATAAAAAAAGTGAGTAATCAGCTATTTTTTAGCTGTTAGAGACTTTTTATTTATTGATTCTTGTTTTGTTTGGCTTTCTTTGGCATAAAAATTTATATGCTTTAACTTGATATTTCAATTAGGATCAAATGAAACTTAGTTGTCTTTAGCCATTACTAAAGAATCTTATCCACTTTATGGAATGTTAAAGACAATGTTCATAAACCTTCTTAACAACTTTCATTGCATTTCATTTTATTAACCCAGTATAGATTAAAAGATTTATGAAATCAATTTTTTCTGCTGATGAAAATAAAACACCTTTTATTTGTTTCCTTTCTTGTTTTTTTTAATCCATTTGTCTTTTGTTTTTTTTTGTTTATCATAGATGTAGTTGGGATTTTTCCACCAAAATACCCTTTTAAGGTTTTGCCAGTTTCACAAATGGGGAAATGAAAAAATTACATTTGATCATGTTTTATCAAAAAATAAGAAGATATTTCACAAGAAAATTTACATGCAAATTTGGATAAATGAAGTGGCTTAGTTGTATATGGCACATCACAGAATGAACTCTGGGCACCTATGACTTCCACTTTTCTTGCAACTCTATTTTAGAATTCCTTTTTTATTTTTTGTCATTTCGTGTTACAAGTTCAACATTCTCACCATACTCCTTCATTTCATTAGGCTGCAGCTCCTAATTGGATTCATAAGCCATCATGATGAGGTGGATGAATAATCATAATTTCACATGTTGTATTCTCTTTCCCTTGCATTTAAATTTCAAATTATTAATTTTTATATTTTAACATTAAAAGAGAATTGGTTACTTGGCTGCCTCACAAAGTTTCCACGAAGGAACAGATGTCCTCATGTTAACCACTAACATGATCAGAAAGGTACGAGTCTGATCTATCATTATTATTGTTGCATTGATTATATATACTTTCATCAAAATTTTGTTTTCCATTTCAATTACTCCTAGCTCTAGTCACATGTTTTCTAAACCTTTGAACACCAAATTGATCTAAAATACCATCAAATTTTAATTAATTAATGTTTAATTTCAAGTTTGACTGATTACATGTTTTAAATTCTTTATTGTTAACTGATCTTTTAAAAATGTTGAAATACATTCTGTATCATGCAATCAACAAAAGGACATGAGCTCTCAGAACATGTATGATGCAGGTGTGGCACTGAATGGCCTCTCGTGCTTCCTCTCCCCTGACCTGGCCAGGGATCTGGCTAGCGACATCATGACGCTGGTTGGTTTGCAGTTGTCATTCTTTCTTTATATGTCCTGATTTTATTCGATCGCTCGCTCCATCCAGTTGAATCATGATGTTGATTGATTTTACTTCTGAATTTGAAGTTTTCTATAATATTTTTATGTTTGCCAATTAATTTTTATCTGGCTACGTACATCTTTTTCATCTGGAAACATAAAAACAACTCATTTTCAAACCAAATTTTTGCTATTTTATTTACTGTAATAATATTGTCATCAGCTATGTTTACAATGTAGTTGTTTTGGTTGGGAGATGAGTTTTAGCAGCTCTAAATTAAATACATATTTTAAAAATACACAATAAGAGTTCATTAGTGAGATGATATTTAAGTTCTTTGTGAAATTTTTGTTTAAATTCATATTGTGAAAAGTAGAAGTAAATATTTATTGATCTGTAAATTAAAAAGATGACATCAAACAAGCCCTACCTCCGAAAGAAAGCAATTCTTATCATGTACAAAGTCTTTCTCAAATTTCCTGAAGCACTGAGGCCTGCATTCCCGAGATTGAAGGAGAAGCTGGAAGATCCTGATCCCGGTTTTTGACTCTTATGTTCACATTTTATTTGCCTGATTTGATCAGTTTGTTATCTTTTTCATTATATTGCTATATTTTTATTTATCATAGCAACAACAACAGCAATGATAATAGGGTATGATAGCAGCAGTTTTAATCTTTGCTTATATATATCTTGCTCCGTTGCATATCTTATATTTCTTGTTGTATGGCCACCATTTTGTTAAGTGGTTTTACATTTTCACGCAGATATATTTTATTTTGTCATATGTCATTAAATTTTACATGGCATGTTAAATAAAAACTATACTAATGAGATTTCATTAAAATGTTTTGTTGCTATTTTTTCACAGGTCAATTAGATTTAATTTGTGAGCAAGTTCATCTCTTGAATGAAGTTATTATTCTTTGTATTAGCATTGTCGGATGTACAGCAGTGTATTCATCGTTCAAATAATCTAAAGACTGCTTTCAAAATTTACGTTTAGTTTTGTTGACACAACAAACAAACAGGAGTGCAGTCGGCGTCAGTGAATGTCATCTGCGAGTTGGCTCGCAAGAATCCAAAGAACTATCTCACGCTTGCACCTCTGTTCTTCAAGCTGATGACAACCTCAACAAACAACTGGGTCCTCATCAAAATTATCAAACTGGTCAGATTGAAATTCTTCTATCATTTCCTATTTCAAGTTTTTGTTGTTTTATTTTTAATTAAAATGATGTAGATATTGTTGTGCACTAAGAAACAAAATAAATAAAAAATTATTTTTATGCCTTTCACATTCATACGGCTTTCTTTTAACATTTCAAGTATATAATTGAAAGTGATTTTATATTTGGCAATTTGTTATCCAGTAATTCTTTTTATTCCATTGTTGCATGTTTTTTTTACTACAAAAATTTCCAAGTTACATTTGAGAAATTCTCGTTGATGACTTACTATATTAATGTGATATGTTTGTTATGATGATTGCAATGATGCATCACAGTTTGGGTCACTGACCCCTTTGGAACCTCGGTTAGGTAAGAAACTCATTGAACCACTTACAAACCTCATCCACAGGTTATCTATTTGAATCTGCTTACCCTTTATGCTTTTTTATTGTTTTTATGCTCTTGAAATGGTTAGAAATGGTTTTAGCACCTGATTGATTGATTGATCGATCGATTAAATGAATGATCAGAAATGGATGTAGTTAGTGATAGATTAGAATGAATACAATTGAAATGATTGATATGTCTTCACTCCCACCGACAGCACATCAGCCATGTCCCTCTTGTACGAGTGCATCAACACCGTCATCGCTGGTCTGTCTTCATTCATTAGCAGCTCATTTTTCTTCTCATTAGATAGAATCTTTTTAAATTTGGAATACAATTTTTTTTGTTTAATATCTCTCCCATTATTTATTATTATTATTATTGTTATTGTTATTTTTATTAATGTTGTTGTTATATTAATACTTAATTACTTTTTACTGTCTTATTTAAGTATTTTAAATTGGAATTAACATTATTCTTCTCTAAAATGTTTACTATGTTTACAGGGTTGCTAACGTAGATATCTGATTCAATTGATTTAATGTTGTTTAAGTAACATTGAAATTTTTTAATTAAGTACAAATAATTTTTGAAAAGTTTAAAAAATTATACCTAGACGTATGATAATCAGTTGCAAATGTTTACTGCTCTCATGCATAATAGTCTAGAATAGTACACAGATGTCTTCTTAAACAATGTTATTTTTTTTGGTGTTATTGATTTTAATGTTTTGAGTTGTGTTCAGAAAGTTTTAATAACAGTTTATAACAATCATAAAAAATGTTATTTCATAACTTATTCACTGGCTTCTAACATATTTTACTAACACCAACATTAAACTTGCTGTAAATTGTAACTAACTAACAGTTCTCATATCCATTTCGTCAGGAGTCAACAACCACTCCGCATCCATCCAAGTAAGTTTTTAAATAATTTTTTGTACATTGTAAAATGTTTTTGTTAATTATCAATTGAATGCTTACATTTTCTTATTTTATTCATTTCAATGTTTATTTTCATTTCAGCTTTGTGTTCAAAAACTGAGAATTCTCATTGAAGATTCTGATCAAAATTGTAAGATTTTATCACCAAAGGTGTTCTCATTTGCAGTTTCAACCATTGTACAAATTACATGTATTGTTAAGATGACTGATGTGATTGATGTCGCAATGTGTTGCAGCACTTTGGACATTGTTCATTTCTGGGCTTTTTGTGTTGCTACATATGAGCATCAAACTCTATTTAACACAGACTCAGCACCTACTTCTACTTGATTTTGTATCTATTATAATCAGATTTATATTACTCTTAAATCTTTTTTCGAATGTTACAATTTTTACCTTCTTGAAATTAATTTCTTTGTTGCAATTTATTTCAGCATTTTCAAAATATTTATTCATCAGTAAAATACCTTGGGCTGATGGCCATGTCCAAAATTTTGAAAACCCACCCAAAAAGCGTGCAAGCACACAAGGACCTCATCCTCCAGTGTCTCGATGATAAGGATGAATCCATCAGATTGAGGGCATTGGATCTTCTCTATGGCATGGTTGGTTGGCTGTCTGGCTGGCTGATTAATTGATTGGTTAATTGGTTGGATAGTTGGCTGTCTGGCTGGTTAATTGTGTGGTTAATTAGATAGTTGGCTGGCTGGTTGAAATATATTATTGTGAATTCTTAAAAAGTAGTCTGTGTATAATATAATTAAAGTAGCAAAGATACATCTATCATTGTTGAGTCAATATTTTTATCGTTCGTTGTTACTACTTATTGAATATGTGATGACCAAACTTTGTAATTGAGAATATCTCATAATGTTTACATTTGTATATAAGGTAACGAAAAAGAATCTGATGGAGATAGTGAAGAAGTTGATGATCCACATGGATAAGGCAGAAGGCTCCCATTACCGAGATGAGTTACTGTCCAAGATCATTGAAATATGCAGTCAGTCCAATTATGCGCATGTCACTAATTTTGAATGGTTGGTGCTTGCTACCTATACAACCATCACTGTGGTGTTCATTTCCATTTCTGATACATTGAAAAAAATCATTCAGGTATGTGAGTGTGTTGGTTGAGTTGACGCGGATAGAAGGTACTAAGCACGGAAAGTTGATTGCTTCCCAGATGTTAGATGTTGCCATCAGAGTCCAAGCCGTCAGACAGTTCATCGTATCACAGATGGTTGGCTGCAAGTCTTTCTATTTTCTGCATTTATACATGCCTCTGTGTACAAGTCAATGATCTCCTCTTCTACATTAATACAACAAATATATTTATAAATTTAATTCAAACTTTTCAAGTTTAATATATCTTTTTCTACATTCAATTATCATTTTATTTTAATGATAGTAGCTCTTTACTTTCTATCCTTCAGTATGACTTGTCTTGTATTACTACTCAGTTTTTCATTTTATGTTTCTGTTGAAAATGATATTACCATAAAATGTTTGAATATAAACAATATTTTCCAGTTCATTACATAGTTACTATGACACTTAGCGTAGGATTTATATCACGTGATCTCTCCAGGTAATCCTGTTGGAGAACCCACACCTCTTGATAACAAATGCTCAAAAAAATGGAATCTGTGAAGTTTTGCATGCTGCTGCCTGGATTGCTGGAGAGTTTTCTCAGTTAGATTCCTATATTTACATTTTAGTCATTCATTACAACAACTGTTTGTGATTGATAATATAATTATTTGATAATTTCACAAAATTTTTTTGAGATTTTTATTGTATTAATTTTATTAATTTATTCTATATTTTAATTTCAGATATGTGCCCAATCCACGTACAACCCTGGAAGCTATGTTGAAACCGAAGATAACAAACTTACCTGGTCACATACAGAGCATATATGTACAGAACATCATGAAACTATACACACCAGTTCTTGCACGAGCTGAAGAAACAGACGATAAAGACACCATGGCCGAAGTCACTAAGGTCAAAATTTTTTTTACTATTATGAGCTTCTCATTGCTACGCTTTTTGTTCATCTCATAAATTTTAATTTCGCTTGACTGATACAATACGTTTTTTGAAGTTGTTATGCACTTCTATTGCCTAATTTGTTTCTTTCTTCATTTCCACATTAGGCCTTGATTGATGGGCTAAATCTGTTTGTTCAAAGTTCTGAATTGGAGGTTCAAGAAAGGGTATGCTAATTTCTCTGTTTTCCACATTTGTGTCTTTGAATAATTCAAGAAACAATGTTTAGGCCAAAAAATAATTTCAATAATAGAAATACTTTTATCAGTAAAACATTTTATTAGGCATGTTCAGCCCAGCAGTTGTTGAAGTATGTTCTAAAAATACACGAAAAAAATGGCAAAGCTGCTGATGAGTTGCACGATTTGTTCAATGGAGAACTGAACCCAGTGGCTCCAAAGGCTCAAAGAAAAGTGCCAATACCTGCAGGGTTAGCTGCTCGCTGTTGTTTAGGGCTGTTTGTGTAGTGCTGGATAAAGTGATTGTGTAAAGTTCTATGCTCTTGTTTATAATAATTTGCTATTTGTAACAATATGGAAAATTATTCAACATGTGAAGTTTGGATCTGGATAACTGGATCAACGACCCACCATCAGAGAGTTCAGAAGATGAGGGTCAAAAAGAGAAGATCCATGTCTTCCTTCCTGTTGATGAACACTATCAATCCAGGTAGGTATCTTACCTTTCTTTTTTTATTTGCTTGAAATCAAATTGCAACTTTGTATATTGTTTTATATATCACATATTTAGTTATTTTACAAAAAAATTTTCCATATATTAATAATTCAATAACACTGTCCATTGTAATCATATAATTTTCATTCCTGACTAAAACCTTTATGAAATTCCCTTGAACAGAACTGATGATCGACCAACAATTGAATACACTGAGGAAGAGCTTGCCAGTGTTTGTTCATCTTCTGCATTCATTTTTAATTTTCGTTTCTTCATCGAAGCATATTTTCAAAACTCACATTTCATTAAAAATGGTCAAAGTATTCATTCAAGATTGATTCTACTTGTACATTTACCAATATTTGGCGAATAAATAGCCTAATGCTTTAAATTTTATAAATAAAAGTTCATGAAGATGGCAATTATCATTGTAAATTGTAAACTTTTCTACTAGTAGACCAGATTATTTTAACACTGCTGTTGCAACAAGCTTTAAATAATGAGATAATTTTAATGCAGAGGCGAGAAATGAGAAAGTTGGAGCAGGTGAACAATCCACATTATCTAAGAGGCTCGACTAAGAACAAGGTCTGCTTTCAAATCTTTCATTTGTCAGTTTATTTCGCCAACTTCACGTACTCTTAGCAGTCTTAGCAATGCGCATTTCATTATTGCTGTCTGATGCATTCGTTTTTCGTCTGTTGTTTTGTGTTACTACTTGTTTGTTGTCTGGTTTGTATGTCCATTGCTGGAGTTTGCTGGCGCTGTAATCAGGTAGTGTGAACCAATTAAAAATAAAATGTCTATTTATTCGTTTCTAGTCGCTAACATATGTGCTGCTTATGTAATTTATTTGCGTTAAAACTGCAATGACTACAGATGAAGACATCAAATGGTGCTCAGTTTGCAAGTGGTGTTCCTGTTGTCGAACTCGACCTACCTGTTGCTTTGAATGTGCCAGGTAGTAATGTTAATGATGATGAGGAGGAGAAGGGAAGGATGATGATGATGATAATGCTGGCAATAATGAAACTGGAGGATGATGTTGAGCTAATTATGTTTGTTACATAATGTAGGTTTGGCATCATCGGACAAGTACATGAAGTTGGCAAAACAGCAAGAAGATGATGACAACATTAAAAAGAAAAAGAAGAAGACAAAAATAGGGAAGAAGAAAAAACATGCCAATAAGAAGAGAGATGAGAATGATGAAGAGGATGATGACAACGGTGATGATGCTGGCATCGACAAAAGAACAGTTGTCCGAACGACCGTGGAGATGCCAGATGTTAATTTTTATTTACAACATTCTTATCTTCAATTTCATGTTCATTTTATTAGTTCTGTGCTCTGTTCTTATCATTTCTTATTTATTTGTTTATTAATGATCATTATTTTATTATTACCGTTGTTAATTATCCCAATCAGCCATCTTTTTTTTTCCTGTGTACGTTCATCCTCTGCACCTTCTTCATTTGGACTGATGACAAACATTGAAACCACAAACAATGATACACATCATCATCACCATAATGACAATCTTTGCGAATGTGAATTTCGAATTATAATTGGCGCTATATAAATGTTAACAATAATAATAATTGACAATAATAATTGTCATCAATACAATGATGCAGGGTGTGGAGCTATCAGATTCTGACATGAAATCCAGCACGCCAAGCAACGACCCTCATAAACTCCTTGACATCAATCTCGACGAGTTAGATCACTCTATTTTATTTTTTTTTATCACATTTCTCTCTTGATTTTTTTTCAGAGGTATCAACAAAAAACATTGTGCATGAAAATATGCGTGAAACATCATCACAGACAATGGTGTGTGATAAGCAGGGGTCTCTTTGCTATCGAATCCAGTGACTACTGCGTGCCAGACAGACACCTCCCCATTACACCACCTCGACGCCCAATTTATTATTAATATTGTTGTTGTTGTTGCCGCTGTTGATATTTTTTATTGTTGTTTGTTGTTACTGCTAATGTGCTTTTTATTCGGTTAAGAATGTTTGTTACAGAACATTCTTATGAGAATTTTTTTCATTAAAAATCCATACTTATGATGAGTATGAAGCACTATTAATATTATTTTATTCTTTTTATTATTATTATAAGTTCTATTATTCTATCATCATTATTTTTTCTCAGGCCATTACAGGACAGTGAAAAACTCCCTGTCAGATCTCATAGAACTGTGCAATCATCATCATCCCCACCACCACAACACCATCATCATCATCGTCGCCATCATAATCATAAAGATAAGAATGATAATGATCATGAAAAGACCAAACACAAGGAAAAACATAAAAAGAAAGATAAAAAGGTTGAATTTATTTCCATAAAAGATAGGATGCTTTTCTTTTTAGTTGAGATAACGTATAATAATTGTTTAACGTCGTCATCTTACAGTTGCCATGTTTCAGAAGCAACCTGCAGTTATAAATTAGATATCATTAGTGTTTAGTGGAATCAATAATTAACCGCTGCTCTGCTTTAACTTGAGTTTTTTTTTGAACTTAGATTATTAAGTTCAATTGTCTACTTAGTTTGGAAAAAATTCGTTTTGATTTTTATGAATTGAACAGAAAATCGAGAAGGCTTTAACATCAGCGGTGAAAACAACGAGGGCAGAAGCAGTTGAGCCCTCAAAACAGGAATCCCTGCTGCTCATTGGTGATGCTGATATTGCCGATGTTTTGCCTGCTGATGTTGCCGATGCCAGTGCAGTTGGTGGTGTTCAGTTAGACGCTGGCAAACTGGCGTCAAATCAGTCTGTAGGTGGGCCATCTGGTGACAGAAGCGCCAATGATGTCAGTTCAAAGCTTGTTTTTTCACTTTTTCAAAGAATTTTTCTCTTACCATTGCTTTTGTCATTAGAGTTATTATTGGTTTGTTGGCGTGTACATATTAGTGAAGATGATGATAATATTACTTATCTGATTATTAGCGCGTTGTTACATTTCTAACAAGATTTGTGTTGAAATGTTGCTAAAGGTGAACGATATTTCTTTCTGGTTGGAAGACAAAAGTATCACACAAGCCTCTTCAACGGCCCCGATCACAAATGAATCGTCATCATCACCGACCGCATCGAAAAAGGAGGCTAGTAAGAAGGTTAACAAAGTTGTTTATTTTTTAATTCTTTGATGGTTCGTTTGCTCATTCGTTGGTTCGTTTGTCTGTTTGCTTGTTTGTTGTATCTTTTAATTAATAATTCTGTTGGATTAGTAAGAAGATAACCTTTGATGATCATTTATATCATCTGACAAAAGTTTTTTTCCTTGATAGATATTGAGAAATTGGATTGAAGTGAAAATATTTTGATTCGTGGTTGTTTTAATTTCATTATTATTTATATTTAAAACTTATTAAAAACAGTCCAAATCAAAAAGTTCAAAATCTGAGAAGTCATCAAAGAAAAAAAGCAAAAGCAAGTTGAGGTTGGAGAAGCAGAGTGAATACATAGAAACCAACGGACTGACTACACCTTCCACTGAACAGCCACATGAAGAACCTGAGGTAACTCAACAACAACAACAACAACAACAACACTTAGCAACAACTAAATTGATTCAGAGTTTAAACTACAACAACAAGGATGACACAAACAGTAGTAAAGTTTTGAAGGTTGCTAACTATCAATTGTTACAACGCTATTCGCTTTATACTATGTTTACCTTATTTATGCCATACCTTCGCACTTTTTATAATTTAATTTATCACTTTGCAGGAACCTGTGTCAAAGAATGTGTTACTGGCTGAGAATGATTGCATTAAATTGGTTAGAAGTACTTATTAAAATAATTTAAATCAGTTTCTCTCTTTGAATTTATTATTGAAATAAAATCAAGGGTAGCGGTTGGGTCAGAGGGATTTTTTGGGAGTTGGGACTTGGGAGAAATTAGAGTCGAAAATTGGTTACTTCATTTTGGCTGTCTGCATATAGCATGTTAAAAATTAAAAAGAATTATTTATATTCTGAAGAATGAAGTTGCACTGTAAGCTTTAGGTAATGAAAAATAGGTGATAAAAGTATATGAAAGTTTATTATTGAGTTTGTGTAAAAAAAATTTCTTACCGTAATTTGGAAAGTGTTGGAGGGAATTGAAATATAGATGGTATGCACCGGACGAAATGGCGTATTGAGATGTTTATAGATGGGAAAGTGTTTGAGTTCATTACGTAAGGACAGCTGTTTGGAGTATTATATGAAAATATGTAGCGCTAATACAATGTTCAAAAAGGTTCGATGATGCATCAAGTTGTGATGAAATAACAATACTGCTAGAAATAATTATAGAGAAAGAATATGTAACGGGTTTTCAAATCATTTGTACTTCTTTTTTATTTTTAAGCAATTTTCTTAATATTTTGAGCAGCAATTTTTTTTCTTTTTTGCTTCTAGAATGAGTGATACATATATTTAATATTGATTATGATGATGTGATATTTGTTATTTTCCTACTCAATAGACAAACTGTTTCAAAGTGACTCCAACTCATTCAAATCGATTGGTTCTTGTGGTAAACTTCACCAACCTAACCAGCAAGACAATAAAGGATATAGAATTCCTCATCCTCGATTCTGCAAATATACGACTTGTTCGGGATGTTAGTCCTTTTTATTGTTCAATGCTAAGCGTTTCTCAAAACATTGACAATAAATATTGCCATAAACTTCACTATTTTTTATGTCAGATGGATGAAGATTCGAGTTCGCCAATTAAGTTGAACTTCAGTCTGTCTCCACCCACAAACCACCAGCAGTCAGCATCATTCAACTTGAATGTGGATCAGATATGTTCTCAACAAACACTCAGAGGCATTGTCACCTACATCATCAAGGTTTCTTATTCACACACTTTTCTCATTTGTTTATTTGATTAGTATTTTTTAATATTTGATTTTGATTGGATGATGTTTAGTTTTCTGACAGTTTTTTATTGATTGTTTTATTTATTTATTTATTGATGGAATGTCGAATTGTCATCGCTACTAAATCAATTTCATTATCAAATTGTTATCATCATCGTCATCCTGTTGATCGCGGGACCATCACTTGATCGTCACGTGATTACACGTGATCGTCTCGTGATTACACGTGATTGTCACATGATTATAATTAATGGCTCACTCGACCGATTACTTTCATTGATTTTGCAGTCTGAGGAGGCGGCATCTCAAGACAAACTTGACTTCAAACTGAACATTCCATGCTCTGCCTACCTCATCCCTCCCTCTCATAACGATAGGTTACTAACTAGTATTATTTTTATTTATTTATTTATTTATCTACATCTACTTATTACTTATCGCCGCCCAATCTACATACCAGGAAAAGACCTTCATCACAAGACACCTCAAACATATTAGCACTTAAGAAAACTTCATCATTACTGAACTAGTTTTTACTTATTGATCACCTCACTTTTATCGATCACCTCACTAACTCACTAAGTCATCATTTAGTCTATTAATAAGTCATCAAATATATTAATACTCATTAAACTTTTTCACACACAGGCCTAGCCTTTATTTATCGATCACCTCACTAACCCACTAAGTCATCATCTAGTCTATCAATTTGCCGTTACTTCATTTTATATTCCATCGTCAATTACTCTTCTTTTATTTGTCTTATTATTATTTATTTTATTCTAACATATTTTATTTTCATGTTTTATCATTTCTCTTCCTCACTTTTTGTATTTATTTTCTCACTTATTAGTTTAATTTTGTTTCACTGCCTTGCATGTTGTTACAGTTTCTGCGTCTGTCTGATCCTGATTTTTAAAGAATAATAATAAAAAAAAATGTTTTTCTTCATTCATTCATTACTTATCAATAAATCGATGCAGTGATGAATTTGCTAAACTGTTGAAATGCGGACAACTGAAAGAGAAGCTCACAAAACCGATCCAACTGACACTCGACGAAAAGTTTGATGTCACCATCAACAAAATATGCACCTACGCCAACTTTGCAGGTTCATCATATTTATCTCTTTATCTATGTTGATTGTGAGTCATCATTCGTTGTGGTCATTCATTTGGGCCGTTAACATATCTCACCGCTGGTTCGCATTTTATAGCTGTAAGCATTTATTGATTCATAATTAAGATTAGTATAACGTGGTCAAAATTCCTGCAGTGGTTGATGAAGTTTGTGGTTGCAGGTAAATTAAATGTAGCAATAATCTCAACTGCTCTGTGGCTTCTTCACGTGGAAATCTCAGAGAATAAAACAATTGAAAGTTGGATAAAATAAACGTGGTTTGATAGATTGCTATAAACTTTTCATCCCGTGAATGAAATATTCTCCGTTTGACATTACACGTCAAAGGCAGACGTATTGTAATTCGCATAAACTGATTTTTATTTCCAGTATTTTTTTGTGTTTTTTTTATAATCATGAATTAATGTGGTACAATTATTTTGTCAGCTAATTAAATAAATTATCGACCTACAGTCATTGAACAGATATCAGAGTCAGCATCGTTGTACAGCAGGAACATCCACAACAATCACATCGGGTTACTGGTCAAGAAAAAGGTTTGTTTTGTCACATTATTATTATTAACAATATTATTGTTATTATTTTGTTTAAAGTTGTGATTTTTTTTGTTTTCAAAGGAGCCGGGTTTGATAATGATCGATGGAAAATCAGATGTTGCTGAACTGCTTGTTAATGTATTGAAACAAATTGAAGATCTGTTGAGAAGAGGTACATAATGAGAAACCATCTATATCCGTTCATCTTTATTCATGTGTTATTTGGCTCCTCGTTTTGACTTTCTGTTTGAACTTTGATTTCCATTCAACATTTGTTTGGTGCAAATTGTGTCCATGATAGCATGAAACGGTCATATATTCGTTGTCGATGCTGTTTTAATATTTGACTTCATTTAGTTCGTTGATTTGATTTTTTATATGATTCCTAAGAAGGTCAGTAATTGTGCTGCGTGACTGGGTGTGCCTATTTGTTTAAACCATCGCTAGTATGTATATATCTTCAAGTTATTATTATTGTTTATGTGTATATAATTGTATACAATTGTTTATTTGTTTATTAATTTTCTATTCACTAACATGTACTTGTTCATGTCTGCTTGTGATTTGTATTTTTTTGTTCATTATAAGAAAACACTTGTACAATCAACTTCTTAAAATTTTCCAAAAACTATCATTCATTGGTAGCGGTATGAATCAGATTTTGATTTAATATTTATTAAAATATGCTCCAATATAATACAATAATCTAATTTTGCTTGGTAATATCACTGGTGCGCCGGTGTTGGCTGGTTCTGAGAAATTTAGGAATCCTTTGAAACACTTTTTTGTCAAACCTGATCGAATGTTCTTTATTTAGCTGGAAACTTTTAGTTGTCAGATTTTATGTTTAAGATAACTTCAGGGTCAGGTGCCAAAAGGTTAATTCACACACGACTTGTTTTTGCATTTCATTATATTTGTACCTTGACTACATGTTAACGAGAAATGTTCTGATAGCCTGGCATCATACAAAAATGTATTTATTAATGAATACAACTGCAACTGGCGACCAAACTTTTATTCCAACGTTTATCCAGCAGTTGACGTTCTAAATTCTAAAATCTCATTCATCCGTTATTTATTACTTTTAAAGTACTAATTTATTTACATTTTACGTACGGCATAAGGATTTTTTTGATTTTAAGTTTAATTGTTTCAAAAAATGTTCAGGCTACTTTCATAGCATGTAAAAAAATATTACCAAGAGAAAAAGGTTGCTTTTGAGCGTTTTAACTTGGTTATTTTAAATAAAGTTTCCATGACAATTTAAAAAAAATTCATGATAACTGTATAATAATTATTATTCGTGAGACTTATGAAGTTGTATCCACGATGTTCGTTCAGTTTATACGTCCGTTTCATTGTTTTCTGTTTTGATTTTTTGATTCTTTCATTTATTTATTCTAAAAAATTTCATTATTGCGATGTTCCTATGATTTCTTTACATTTAGCTCATTCCATTCATCTTTACGTCTGCATATATAAGTACATTTATTTATTTGTCTGTCTGTTTGTTAGATGCATTACCCATTGATGACATGGGTTGTTCCACGTTTGGTGAAACATTAATGACATTCAATAAAAACTGTTATTTTGTATCAGACTCGGTCTAGGCCGCCGTAAAATAGTTAACATATTATAACATAACAAAAGATTTGTATAGTGATCCAAGAAGACTGTGTCTGTGACAGGACCACTCAGAAATTTCGGTGTGCTACTCTTTGCCAAGTGCGATTTGAAGTTTTTAGATGTTTCTGCGCATATTATTTCATCTCCCAGTTTGTTCCACTCATTGACAACTCTTCATCTGATAAATTTTTGTGTTATTGTTCCAGAGCTTTTTTAAATATGTCATATTTGTGCCCCCTCGTTTTACTATTTATCTCTAGCTCAGAAATTTTTACTGATTCCAATTTCTTTTATGTAGTGATATTTTTATATATCTTTATAATTGGCGCAGGGAAGCTAGCGGGTGATCGTTTACTTGAATGAAGTTTAAAAATACGGTGTAATGACGTAATTGCTTCCAGGTCAAAGTTAAGATTAAGTTACGTAATTGCTTTCAGGCCAACATTCTGATCAAACGTTTCAATTAATTTCCTGTTATACATCAGTTAAAACTTTGTAAAATTTAAAAACGCCTCTTAAAGTATTGAAACAATAAAAAGATTACAATTTAGGGTACTTACAATTATTTATATACAGACAATGTTCTACATGTATATATATATGTGTGTGTGTGCTTGTGTGTGTGTGTGTGTAATGTATATGCAAAATAAGAAAGGGAGAAATAATAATCTTATTGATTTTCTAAAGTTTTATAACGAGTCTGGAACAGCCAGAGTAAAGATGAGCATCACAGCTGGAACTAGAAAAGGGTATGTCATTGTAGCGGGCAGAAATTTATTAAACGTTGAAAACAGCTTGAATGGTTAAGATTATACGTAATTGATTATTATTATATGTTTATGCAAAAATTATGTTAAAAGCGTATATTTGCTATTTTATCTTTGTTGTTTATGTTTTAATTTTTTTAGCATCCAGAAGACATGGCTGCGAGATCGACCTTCATTGCCACATTATCGTTAAGGTGTATGCTAAAACCCCCGAACAAATTAATCGCAAGCAGACATTCTCTGTGCACCTGCACCAAATTTTTGACGGTTGCCAGTAACGCCGGCCTCCTCAAAATTACAGGTGTGTATTTTTTAGTGAGATTTTTTTCATCATCCCTCACCATCAGTCACTGGTTGACACTGGCCTGACTCATTGCGTTTTATTTATTTTATCTTAAATTTTGTTTATTAGATAAATAAAATAGTAAAATTTAATATTTCTGTTTTATAAAGATAAATTTAAAATTTTATAGGTAGTCTATCATGGAATTATTCCAGAAAACTAGATTTGGTTTTTAAGCTTTTAAATTTTTAATATATATATTTATATATTATAAGTTAATTTAATAGTTAATTTAAAAATAAAAATTACTATACCATACTAAGCTAGTAGTGTAGCTAATTAAATTACTAATAAAACTTGAAACAAATAGTTGTATTAGAATTAGATTAGTATATAACAGATAACTATTTATTTTAATTTATATTATAAGTATGAATGAGTATTCAAACTCTCTACAAAACTAGTTGATTGATTGATCTATAATTCTATATTTTATTTATTATATATGGTAACATACCAAAATGACCTCAATCAACTCAATTTGTAAATCAGTAAATTTGTAAGATGTGTAAGTTGAAGCTGATTGATTGAAGTGGAGGGAAGTTACCATTTTTATAATAAATCATGTCAATATATAAATATGGTTTGAGAGTTGTATTTCTTTTCTTATGAGTGACATTCACAGCATAAAATTGACAATAATAATAAATAAGGAATATCAACAATGGCCCTTTGAAGAGGTTCATTAAATAAAATAAAAATAATATTAAATGTTTACAAATTCTTATTTTTCCTTATTGCACTTTCAGAATTTTCTATATACAAAAATGCACCTGCTAGAAGTTTTCGTTCATCCACAAATGTCAATGCAAAAAGAGACTACTATGAAGTGCTGGGTGTCAACAAGTCTTCAACACAGAAAGATATCAAAAAAGCTTATTACCAAGTAAGACACTACGCTTCATACAATACATTTCCATTTATGTTTTTTTTATTTTCATTAAATACATTTCCTGATATTTCAAATTTTATTTTTCATAAGAATATGTTTTTTAACAAGTTTGCTGAATTTTTATTATCTTGTAGCTGGCAAAAAAGTTTCATCCAGATATGAATAAAAATGATCCAGATGCACAAAAGAAATTCCAAGAGGTTTCAGAGGCATATGAAGTTGGTTGCATCTTCTGGTGTTTTCATCTGTTTCAATATAATTTTGTTTGCTGCTAAATTAACAGCTGACCATTTAAGTTTTGGTCACCTCTATATTCTGTCCTCATCCTGTGTGTTGATTGAATTCATGTTAATCCCTTCCTATCATACACAAAAGTGCATGATGCATAATTATTTTATAACCTCTGAGTAATGCTTAGTAAACAAAACATTACCTTATTAATTGAGGTTTTTAAAATTGATTAATTTACAAAGGTGTTGTCTGATGAAGGTAAGCGCAAGCAGTATGACACATTTGGCATGGGCAGTGAGAATTTTTCATCTGCAGCTGGTCAACAAGGTCCATTCAGAGGTTGTTTATTCATCTAATTATCTTCCTGTTGCTATCTTGTTATCATTATCATTTTTGTATACATAAAATTATTATTCACTTTCTAATCATAAGCAAATTGTTGTTATCTATCTATTCATCAACTTGATCAGCAACATTGTTTACACATGAGCTTATGCACTGAACAGTTAAGTTATAAATATTGCAATACTTTACGGCCGTGTACTTACATTTTTTGACTCACCTTCAATCATGGTTTGTTTGCAAATGATAAAGAAATAGTAATATCTTTTTATATATTTGTTACATAAACATCGGGTGTTCTGTTATTAGTTCCGTTTCATAGATTGCAATTTATTTACTGGAGAATTATTATTAAACAATCAAAATGCAGGAGGTTTTGAGAATTTCCACAGCTCTGTCGATCCTGAGGAACTGTTCAGAAAAATTTTTGGTGAGGCAGGCTTTAGAATGTCAGGCTTCAATAACTTTGGAGATTTCGCTGAGTCTAATTTTGGATTTGCTCCTGCCTCCGAAGTAACTTGTTCTTTTGCTATGTAATTGATGTCATCTACTTTATTTTCTATGTTACTTTGTTCATACATCAACTGTAAAATTTTTCCTTTTATGTTAAAATAAAATGTTTTAATTGATAGAATGATATTTGTTTACCCTGATCAGGTAATAATGAATCTGACGTTTCAACAAGCAGCACGAGGTTGCAACAAAGAAATTGACATTAATGTGTCAGATACATGCCCTCGATGTGCTGGACAGAAGGTTGAACCAGGCACAAGAAAAGTCAAATGCCATCACTGCAATGGAACTGGCATGGTTAGTCAATCTCTTTGTATCACCAGGTTTTTTCAAAATGTTACATCAAGTGTTATTTTACAATTGTGTTTTTATGTTAAGTTGCAAAGATATAATATAAAAACACAACACTTTTTGCTCTGTGTATTATATACACTATAAATTTCTAAACTTTCCTTTATTATTTCCTCCCATAAACATTTTTTGAACTAGATATAAAACAATATCTAGCTCTTGCAAAACAAAATTCATCATCTGTTTCTTATATAAAATTAGATTTGTAAGTAAAATAAAGTTTTTTTTAATATTTCAATAAATTCAACTTATATCAATAGCAGGGGGTGGTCTGGTAATAAAAATGATACTAAACGTGCTGACATATTTTTTAAATGCGTGAAATAAAGCAATGAAAAAATAATCAAAATAAATACAATTTTCCAGAAATTAATGAAAATTATTAATAAACTATAAAAATATGAAAATTTGATGAATAATTTGTTCACGAAAACTATAGAATGACACCAGACTCTTAAGCGCACTAAAAATATGCGCGGGTGCGTTCAAGGGTCAGTATAGGCCTACATTTTATAAGCATATGATTGATGGTGACCTATCTGTTTTCAATTAAGTTAATTCTACATTAGAGTATGCTGATGATGTATTTGTTGCTTGTGGCAGGAAACAATAAGCACAGGACCTTTCATAATGCAGTCGACCTGTAGACACTGTCGTGGATCAAGGGTTCTTATTAAAACCCCATGTGTCGAGTGCCAGGGAGCTGGCAAGACAATTCAAAGAAAGCACATCGCTGTTCCAGTGCCAGCTGGTCAGTTTATTGCTTCAATGAGCTCTCTAGTTTAATTTCATACCAACTCAATTGAGATTTTTGTGCTGTTCATTAGATTAATTTTTTTGTATTCTTAATTTTTTTTGAAAAGTCATCCAGTATCTCTAATCATTCATTCAAATTGGAAATTTATGTTGTTTATAACAGGTGTTGAGGATGGGCAGACTGTCAGAATGCCAGTGGGAAGCAAAGAAATATTCATTACTTTCAAAGTATTGTTTTTATTATTATTGTTTATTGGTGTACAAGTGTACTCCCTTGCCAAACGGTTACGGGAAAATAATAGAAAAACGAAAAAAAATTAATAATTAAACTTAATGTTTAATCTGTTTTGGAATGTCGTTATAATGAATAAGAATATTTTTAATAAATATTGCAGGTTGAAAAAAGCAAAACTTTCCGACGAGAAGGCGCCGACATTCATTCAGATGTCAATGTAAGTCTGTCACAGGCAGTTTTAGGAGGTACTGTAAAAGTGCCAGGCATTTATGAAAACATTCTTCTTAATGTTAGTAACTGATGTTACCATGCGTTAATATTTTTATGACATGTTAGTTCAATAGTTGATCAAGTTTACGATTGATCATAAATGAATGGTTGAGATGAACTTGCAGATACCAGCTGGAACGTCCTCACACACGATCATCAGGCTGCCTGGCAAGGGCATTCCACGGTCACACAGCTATGGCCATGGTGACCACTACGTGCACGTTAAAATAAATATCCCTACGTAAGAGTTCTTTTTTCAAATTATTCAAATTTAAAACAGTAAATGACTAAAATGCCTTAAGAGATAAAACAAATGATTATCGTTGTCATAAGAGACCAAATAGCTGACTGACTACCGATGTCAAAAGAGATAAAGTTTGATGATTTCTTTGCAGCCACTTAACTCCGCAGCAGAAAGCACTTGTATTGTCATTGGCAGAGATGGAAACAGGTGTGGATGGTACAATAAATGGCATCACGCAGACTAAAACAGGTTATAATTTTTATTATATAGTTGGTTATATATATAAAACAATTAAGTTTTACCTGGTTCAAAATCTTACAATACGTATTGTATAAATAAATTTCCGGAAACTTTTACAAAAAGTATGCTTACACAAGTCCCCCTTCTGTGTACTGTTTTTTTTTCAAAATCTGCACAATAAAACTGACCGACAATAAAACTGACCGACAATTAAGCGTAGAATTAAGCGAGCAACAAGTTCACACGTATCCACCACTTGTTTTCATGCATTAACACTTACGTTCACACATGGCATATGAACTGTGCATACACAATAGGAGAATCACAAAAGAAGGGGGACGTTAGTGGAGAACAACCGATCGAGGGCCAAATTGTCAATGACGGAGAATCGTTTTTTAGCAAAATTAAAAAGAGACTGTTTGGGTTATTGTTGAACTATTTGCGTTACTGTTAAAGTTCTTAAATAATCGATTCAAATACCAGAATGGGCTTTTGGCTTTCAGTTACACATAAATGCAAACTGCTAACATGCAATTTATTTCATTTTTTTCTATTTAATTGATGACAGGTAAAGTAGCAATTGAAGATAAAGATGGCTATGTGGAACAGATCAGACAGCTGTTACATTCGTCGTTGCAAAAGAAACAACAGAATAGTTAAATGTTGACTTTAACTTTTATTTGATTTTGTTCCTTTTTTTTACTACGAATACTTTACTAGGGTCATTAAATGTAATTGCTATTCAAATAAAACTTCACATCATGCTTTTAGTTGAATTTCTGAAATTTTATTTAAAATTCATTGGAAACGTTGCGCCACATTTCAAACTATTTGTCAAACACCCCTTCGTAGACGAAATATCATCAGTTAAACTTTTTCTCTGGTTTGGCATTCAGAACCTTTTTCCTCTGAGCGAACATGTGTAGGTACAAAGGAGGGAAAACTGGAATGTTTCAGCAAACATAATTTTAGCCAATGAATATGATTATATTGATTGATATGGACTACTAACCTGGTATATATGTAAGCATGACGAAGATCAAAAAGTAGCAATAACTGAAGCTGATGTTGAATGAATTGGGCAGGGAGATGGTCAAGATTCCGCGCTCATTCACCAGGGGCAATGCATTGTATATGGTCAGCAACTCACCCTGATCACAATTCAAAATAAATTTATCAAATTCTATTTGGTGGTAACATTAAAAGTTTCAACCTACGGTGACTCCAATAGGATACAAAGCGATGAACAGTGTGTACCTGTTTATTAAATGTCCTTTTAGAAATATAAAATCTAGTCACAGATTAAAAAAAATTAGTTGAAAGACCAAATGTCTTGTTGATTTAGACAGATTTTGCATAAATAATGATGAAATTGCTGAATGTGTTTAATTATAATTATTGTGTTTAAAAACATTGAGAAGAGTTAATCTGGAACTCCAATAGGATACAAAGCGATGAACAGTGTGTACCTGTTTATTAAATGTCCTTTTAGAAATATAAAATCTAGTCACAGATTAAAAAAAATTAGTTGAAAGACCAAATGTCTTGTTGATTTAGACAGATTTTGCATAAATAATGATGAAATTGCTGAATGTGTTTAATTATAATTATTGTGTTTAAAAACATCGAGAAGAGTTAATCTGGAACAATTTAAAATAAGATTCAGCCGACATGCAGAGACTCAAATATCTATTGGTGCTGGAACTTACATGCATTATGGCAACAAAAGATTACAACTTTGTCAAGTTTGGTATCAATGCATTTTTATCTAAACTACTGCAAAAGATATTTTTCATAAACTTAACCAAATTTGTTATTTCTAATTGAAGAATGTGGCTGCACAAACCTGGCATAAGTGAGTAGGTATGGTACTTTATTCAGAAGAGCACAAAGGTAAAATAAATATCTGATGAGCTCTGTCAGAGTCCAAGCAAACAGCAACATCAAGAAACCAACTTGTTTGTTTGACTATAAGTTTATTTAAATACAGAATAAATAAGTTAACAGAAAACAACTTTGGCTGAATAAAATTCATGGAAATAAATAAATATCCAAATGATTATTTAAGTGTTTGATAGCAAAAAATTATTACAATATCATTATTGTTTAATTTTAATATACCATTAATTTATCATACTTCATCAACTAAATTGGCAACTCCCCAAAGAAGGAAAACTCTTGAAGAGATTTGGAATGTTGTGATTACAGGATCAGATCTCACTAACCCCAAAGCTGCATGAACTATCTACAAATAAGCATATATGAGAACTAAAAGATCTCTAATTATATTTTGTAGCAATAAAATATCTGAACAATCTTCAACCTGTTGCAAATAAAATAAAAAATTTACCTCAAGAAATGCCAAGGTTTGAATTGTCAAAAGAGAACAATGAACATCATCATATATGTTTAAATATGACTTTGTTGTATATATTAAAAACAAAATACTTTGAATTGCAACAACGGACCATCTAAAAAATATTGAGTTCAATTGAAAAATATTTTAATGAAATGAAAAGCTAATAAACAATCGTCATATAAAATAAATTAAAATGAATATGAACTGTTTTTTTTTATTAATAAGTTATTAATTAAATTAAACTATTAGAAAATGTTTAATGAATTTATTAAGAATATTATTTAAGACTTTTCAATAGTCTTAAATTAATTTTAAAATTATTAACGGTTAACCCAGAGAGTTGAATAAAATTGTACGCGACGAGGTATAAATTCTTCAAGTTCAATGTTCGACTTTCCGACTCTGAAGCAGCTTTGTTAGGGTCGTTAGACCTCCTCATCTTTTGATCAATAATAATATAATTATAATAATCATATTTTTCTAATTGTATTTATTTTTATATTCATTCTTTCTCTACTGTACTAATAAAATAAATAATAATTAATACGTACCTCCGTTCTGCAAACCTGGAATCAGCAGCACAAAGACGACGATAGCCGTTGAAATACTTATTTATTGTTTGGTCTCCGGCAGCTCAGCTCAATATCTGTTAAATTGGTGCGTAATTTTAAAAAAATGGAAAAAGTTAAATTTTTTAAATTAAATTAAACTTAATTTTGATAAACGTATTAGTAATTAGTTAATTTACTAAACATTTAATTCTAAACTTCCAATCTGTTATCTATTATACATATACAATACATGCTATTATAAATTTCAAACTGGTGATACACCCAAAAACGCGACATTGCAAATAATTGTAAGTTTTAACAGCGTGTAATAAGAGCATAATGTTTGAAAACCCAAAAACAGATTGAAAATCCAGGTACTCGAAAGAATTTTCAACTGGAATTGCCCAATCATATCCCCCCCATTGTACGCTCTACTGGAAGCAAGAGAGGCAATGACGTCAAGCATCCATTATAATCGATGCAGAGAGACTCCAGGGATTGATCGTTTGCGTTGAAAAAGAACAGTGTTATGACGTAATTGCTTCCAGGTCAACATTTTTTTAACGTTCAGGTTAAACTTTAAATTTCCTGTATGTATTCTAACTTTAAGAGTGAAATAAATAAATTTGAATTTGGTACTATGATAATGTACCAAAAAGAAGGTTTCCTATTTCCAAATGTTTTTACCGGAAAGAATGATACCCTCAGCAGAACAGTTAAAGGGTATCAACTAATCAAATGAACATCAAAGTAGATTAAATTTGAATGAAGTAAACATGCAATATAAATGTGGCATGCGAAATCTTCTGGTAATCTCGCTGTCTTCTTTACGACGTTACAAGGGTAGTGTAATCATTGTTGGAGGCATGATTCATCATGTCCTTCTCCACCATGCTCCTCTTTTGTGTCTCTCTGTGTGTTCTTATGTACACACACACACACACACACCACACCACACACACACACACTCACACACATATACACTTTTTCTATCAACATCGCGATCACAACACTGCTTAGATCAAAATAAAATCTTAAAGATTTTACATCTAGCTAAATCGCTTTTGCGAATATAAAAGATGTTAGGAAAGGTTTTTTTGAAAGGCTGTTATGGAACCCGCTAACTATGAAATTTGCATTTTTACGACACAGCAAAAAACATACCGACATATTTTACACAGCCGCCAACAATATACATTGCACACTAACACAAAGAAATTATTTTTCCTCAGTTTATATTGAAGCATAAATATAGAACAAGTTTAAAATAATTTAGTAGAAGAGAACAATAACATCCACTGATTTCAAAAGATTTTTGAAGTCTCTTTTATTTAGAAGTGGTTTTCAATTGAAATTGTAAAACAAAAAATTAAAATTTTTTCTCGGAGTAGGAACCAGGAGCTGAGAGTCGGAATCGAAAATTTCCCAATCAAGGAGCTGGACAGACTTTTATCCGACTCCGAACTCTGGTTGCAACCGGCTGTACTTTACTGCAGTGTCTGATCTGTTGGACCTTAAATAACAAACATTTTGCATACATCATAGCAGTTAGTGTATGATGCAATGATGCAAACCCATGGATTGTTTTGTGTCTTAGTATATATTCACATCTGCACTCATTAATATTTGCCTCACACAAGAGAAGACTAAACTTGCCATTAATTACCAAACAACTTCAAGCAAAATTGTAAGATTTTTTTAAATGTCTCACCCATTTTAGACAGGTGCACGTCAGACGCGCATGTTTGTGCAGTTATTTTCAAGTGCACAAAGGTAAAATAAATACTGCACGGTCTTGTGAATTTGCATGTAAAACTAATACGTGTATTTTATGCATACATCACACATTCGTTAACGTATACGTGCACATGCACAGCACATGTTTAGTGTACATATACGCATTCCTAAAATAAGCCTAAAAATGTATGTAAATGTAACCACATTTATGTATTTATTTCATATCTATGATATTCAATATCTTTGTTATATGTTTGATCTTTGTTTGGGTTTCGATAAATGTGCTTCGATAAATGTGCTGCGATAAATGTGCTGCACCACGTGATTGACATATTTTATAATTTATTTGATTTATGAGTTTCGTATGAATAAGCCTGTAATTGATTACTGTTTTACAGGTATGTTTTCTTTAATTTATATCTCTGTATTATTTTATATTATTTGATTATATGACATTTAATTTGTTTGAATAAACTGTTTTACAGATTAATAAATCAGGTTTTATTTAGAAACAATCTTACAAATCAATTACAAGTTATATTCCAAAAAAAAAAAAAAGAAGAGAAAGAAAGAAAGAAAGAGAAGATGTCTTCAGATAAGTTATTTTTTTATATTATAAAAAGAAACGATAATTTCGAATTGACGGCTTTGTCAGAAAATAAATTAGCGTGGTATAATTTGCCCGATGATTATAAAGATTTTGAAAAAAGGTTTATTTTAGACAAATTTAATAAAAGTCAAAATGTTAACGATTGGCTAGAAAAATTTGAAAACGAGTGTATAAGACACAAAATATTCGACGCTACCAATATGATAGAAGCACTTCGATTTTTTTTATCGGGTTCAGCAGAAAATTGGTACGACGCAAATATAATAAAAATTGGTTTAACTAATTGGTCAGAATGGAGAGCAT